TTTATGCCATAAATGCTACTATCTAAACTGGGCTTCTAGATAGAAAGCTGGTTGCTATATAATATATTCATCATTTTTCTCCCCTCTCTGTTGCCTGTATATTCACTGCTCAATTTAACCTCTAAGGAAGAGGTTACTGTCTGAATTAATGCTGTGATACAGTGGGAATACAGTCAAAAAAATGCAGAATTTTGCTCATATTCTTGCTGTTAACACACTGAAGAGCATGTTATGCTAAAGCTCAGCTGCCAGCATTTTCATTTATTCTGACTCCTGTTTCAGGGAAGTGCTGAGATTATTTCTTGAGCAGTCAAGGCAATTTCACTGAACCATAAAACAACTGAGCTTCTGTGCTGAACTCTTATCCCCAGCCCCTAACAAGTGAAACAGCGTATACAGGGAGTAAGGTACAACTGAGTACATTCAGCTTGTATTGTTTCTTAGCTTTAAAGGAGCAGACTTTGGCCGTAAGACTACTTCTCCTTAGTGTCCTCTCACCGAAATGACTACACAGCAGATGTTCTTGTTAAGTATACTCTCTTTGATACATCACCTTTTTGGTTGGGTTTTTGTTGGTTTGATTATTCCTGGATTTCTTTTTTTTAAGAAATTCTTCTCTTTTTCCTAGCCAAAATATCAGTGATTGTCTTCAGAGAAAGCAGAACTTCCAGCAATAGTTTGGTTGCTCTCTCTTGAGCTGAAGGATACAAAATCTCTCTCTTAAAACCTCTCTGAGCAACAGGGGGGCCTGCATGGATTTCATTATAATATGATGTAAAATCTGGGTCTGTCATAATAATGTACTTTCACAGCAATTATCTGCTCTCCTGATTGGAAGACGACTGGGTCTTGGTGAATCACTGTGAATATAAACCATGTAACTAACAGTTCGTTTAATCCATATGGGAAAAGTAATACGGTAAAACCAATGTCCAGACTGTAAATGAACTGTGGCAGCTTCAAAACAGAAAGTGGGTCAGTCTGGGTGCACACAGTGTGAACCAGAAACTTATAGAGGCCTTTAGCAGACCATGGGCTAGGGCAGCAGAGCGCTGGGACTACCAGGATAGCTACACCTCCTCCTTGCACTGACACCGTTGTTAAAAAACCAACCAAACCTGCCTAGAGACATTGAATAAACTTGCTTTGTTCACACACCTTTAAAAAAGATGCGTGGTGTGGTCTGGAGGGTCAGTATCTTACATGCTTTGTCTTCAACTTCTGGTTGTCTGCAGGAATTAGTGAGAACCGCCACGGGCAGGGAAGCCAAGTCCGTCTGTGGGGGATGAGTGGACTGGGGCGGTCTGTATCTCAAGCCTGAGCTCTCGTGACGATTTGCTGATGCCAGAACACTGCAGATGATTTCATGGGTTCCCCTACCTTCCCCACAAGCTGCTTTCATGAGGCATTTGGGGGACAGCCACACACAGAGCTGTGACTAAGCAGCGAGTTTAGCATTTGTAGGGGAACCAACAGACACCCCTAAAAAGGCGGGGAGCTGGTGGGCTCATGCAAGCCTTCCCTCTAGAAGAAATCAGGCCAAAAATTACTTTTATCACAAAAAAAACCCTCCAGAATTATATGCTGTGGTCAAATGCCAAGTTTGGAAAACATCAACCACAACACAGGAATTTGGAGAAAAGTATGACTGCAAGGAAATACCTTCCCATAAAAAATGGTAAAATCTAAAATGAAAGATTCTGGAGTTACTAAAAGCCTGCTTGTCCAGTTGCAAGGGTTAATTTGAGTTTCAGTGATAAACTGAATGGTGCCATAAACTGATCAGGAGCTTTGGTAAAGCTTTCTTTTCCCCCGCACAAGAACACTGCAGGCTGCTAATGCAGCTTTGATTACATGTTCAGTTCAGTCAGCTGAGGGCCATGACCCCATGTGAAGCGAGACACAGATGATTTCTTCCCAGAAAGGGAATTTGTCCAGCCTTAAGCGTAGTTCCCTTGAGAGACCACTGGTAGTGGCAGACAGCATTTACCTAAAAGTACCTGGTTGCCAAAACAAGATTGACTCATTTTCCTTTGCTGGCTTGGCCAAAAGTCAAGTTCATTCTTCAAATCCCTTCTTTGTTTTTTCCTTTTTTTAACTTCTTCTTTTAAAGCTCCTGCGAGCAGTGAGGAACAATTGCTGTACTCCTGTTGCGGCGATGGCGGTACGATAGCAGTGCGAGCATGCCAGCTCTGTCACGGTCTAGACATGCAGGTACACATGACGTGCTCACACCCAGCCATCTGACAGGCCTTCAGGTAGCAGAGATGTATATCTCAATAAGTTTTAATAATCGAGGCGCTAAAGCTGTGAAGTACCAAGCACTTCCTACCCTCCTTTGTCAGACTAAGCCGTAAATCTCTCTGAATGTGTGTTCCTTTGCTAGGAGAATATTTAAGATATATTTTAAATCTTCTCTCTTTTAAGGCTGCACAATTGAGTTTGGTTCTTTCAACTGCAAAGATGTTTCTCAGAGGCCAAGAATAATAATGTAAAATCTAGAAAGTCAATTTAAGATCTGGTGATGATCAACCCCTTTCAAACAGCTCCTCGGTGTTTCAGATGGACCCATTCTCAGGCATAGTCAGCTACAGCTGGGACACTTGGAGAAGTCAGCTCAGTTTGCAGACGGTCTCTTCAGCCTCCACTTCTCATACTTTTCCTTGGCTATTTTAATTCTTCTCTTCACTCCTTTTACACCTCTGTTCCACATAGCTCTTCCTTCCCTTCTTATATGGCATTCTCCTCTCCTCTTTTCTTCCTAACACTGTTGACTGCAGTCACAGCACAAGTGGATCCAAGCATTTTCTGTGTCAGCCCTCCAGGAATGTGTAGTCTTAAGGCCCAAGAGCTGAGGAGGGAGAATGCAAAGGACGGGAGCATCACGGTACGGCCACCTTTTAGTGATTACCCCTGCCCTGGTGGGTTTGGATTCCTCTAACCGCAGGCCTGATCCTCAGTGCCCCTGAAGTCTATTTACAACGTGTTTAATAATTTCCACCAGCTGGCCCTTATTGAGAGTGTCACTCAACATTTATGTAACATTTTCATGTATCAAATAACATGGCAAAAAACTCCGTCCTAACCAACTTTATTGTTTTAAGGCTGATAAATTTTTGTTTTTAATTAACAGGCATTTGTTGTCAGCAGTTTTCCTCGGGAGGTTCTCAAAACCCTGTTTGGAAAGAGCGTTCAAACCTCCTTTCTCCCCAGCAGACTTTGGATCAGGCCCCCAGTGCTGAAACAGAGTGTTTGAAGGTCACTTTTCACTTCTAGAGTGAACAACCTGGAAACAAAGGACTGCACTTACAGTTAATGTCCCACATGGTTTAAAAAATAATTGCGAATGGCTTCGAAACCTGACATTTCAATTGGGAATGTAGTTGATTTAATAAAAACAAAAAAGCAACAATCACATGAGGACGCTGCAGTCATATGATTTTTTTGCATAGTCAGTCACAGCTTTGACTTTCATTTATGCTTACTCTCCTTTCTGCCAGATAATGAGGGCTTAGTTTAAACAAGCCTGGTATCCCTAAGGCTATATTGCCTTCACCCTTTTCCTTGGCTGGCAGAAGGAGGGAGGGTTGTCTCCAGCCAGGAGAGTGCTGAAGCATGGAGTCTACATATGCAAGACACACAGGACTGGACATCAGAGCCTGCATTACTGAGAGAAATGCTGGTTGGGGCGCCCCAGCTAGCGACAACAACTTACAGCTAGTAGAAAATGCTAGAAAAATGGAAGAAACGAAGGACAAATAATTAACCCCCCCCTAATAAGTAGTCACAGTTGAAAAACCTCCTTCCATTGGGCAATCTCTTAGTTCTCTTGACTTGGATTTACAGGCTTCCACCTGCCCTGCCTAAAATAAAAATGATTTAGTGCTGCCCACCTTGCCAATTTCTAGCTAGCTGGTATCTCACTTGCTGGTGCTGTACTTGGGATCACCAAAAACACTACTGAACTCCTGTCTTGAGGACCATACTTGCTTCTATGCCATGTCGTCTCACCAAAGCTTGTTCTTTGCTGCAAACAAAAGCAAGAAACTTCATGAAGCTGCCAGGTCTACAACGAAATTCAGTTGCTGCACTGCCTGCAGAACACCTGGGCTGGTGAAGCATGTTGAACCTGAATTTAAACCACTAAATGCAGTGTTTGCTAATCTGCCTGAATTATCCCACTCCTCTTGAGACATTGGTTGTGCCTCATTATTAAGTTGAGCAGAAAAGTCTATTTTTCCTTTATCTCTACACACCATGAAATGTATACAAGGGAGTACTTATCTGTGCGTAGGTCATGGCAACTTGTGGGCTAGATATTGACTGTCCTTCACTACATATCGTCTGTGATCGCACCTCTAACCATAGACACATTGTACTGTGCAGCCGTGGACAGATGGTACATGCATGTGTCCACTAAATGTTTGAATAATGTTTTACTTAACAATCATCTCTGATCAGGAGCCAAGTCCAGGGATGTGTTAGAATTGGCCAGTCTCCATTTAGTTTACAGTTGTTGCCCAGCGTGTGGGGAGAGACATATGGGTAAATGGTGATGGGTCCATCAAATGCAGCGAGCTGTTGCAGTAGCACTTGCAAATCAGGCTGGGGCAAGAGTTAATTTGGATTTCTGGAAATAAACGTTCCTAATTTAAAAACAAATTAAGTACAAAAAATTGATCGCAGTGCAAAGCTAGTATAAAAATGCCTGTGAGGTAAATGGTGTGGCTCTAAACAGGTCTCTCAGAAATCCCAGGGAATGCTGAAAGCAAAGGGAGTGAGTCATAAGCACATGAGCTGAAAGCTGAAGACAAAATCATGCATCTCTGCTTAATTCCATCACATGATGAGTCCTGGGGCCCTTCATTTAATCGGAGAGCACAGCAGTGGCGAAACTTCATTCTCACTTCTCAGCGGGGACCAGAGGAGTTACGGTGTGCAGGCACCGGGCACTCTCTGCTCCTCTGCGTGCACCAAGCCGACGCAGGGTCTCCCGCACCATGAGCGGAGTTGGGCGCCACCTTGGATTCCTGCTCCTGGCCGAAGCGGTGCTGTGTGCTGCCGCCACACGTGAGTGCTTCCTTCACCCCGACCCCTCTCCCTGCCTCTGCGGGTTCGAAGTCGCGAGCCACGCTGCAAACACGGCTGCTCCTTGCACGTGTAGCGGTTGCTGGAGCTGTGCCCAGGAACCGGTAGGCGACAGCTAGCTCCAACCCAGGGTTGCCTAGCTCTGGGTAACGATGTCACCTGAGCTGGAAAAATATGCCGAGAGCTTATCAGCATGTTCGGTTATCTGTTTCGTGCACTCCACAGATACGCAGAGCTGACTAGAGCTAAGCCTTGGATCATTTCAACACACTGCTAACAGTGTTTCTCCAGCTCAGAGCATGGCTAGAAAGGCAGATGCAGAATGGACTTCTCCCAGTTTGCTCAGCTCAGCTGCGCCTGGGATAAGCCGGGTCAGAGGCAGTGCTCCCTGCTGGGACTCCCAGACGTGGGGATCCCCAGCCTCTGGGAGCCCAGTCAAGGAATGAGATCGTCAAGCTCTGGTGGGCAGGCGATGGGCTGGTCCTCTGCTTCTTTCCAGGCTCCCAGCTTGATTCAAGTCTTAGGCTGACATTGCGCTCAGGGCTGGGAACCCAGAAGTGGGATTTTAGGCTCAAATCCCAGAATTTACACTAAGGAAACTGAAGACTTAAAATCTGAGGTTCAGCTGTGCATCTATCTAGCCTTGTACCTGTCTCCAGTGAGAAACAGTTACATTTAACTCTGCAGAATTTCTTAGTTTTATTCTTAAGTTATTGAGTCTCATACCGTCTACCCCTCTACTACTTTAAGATGCTGTCTTCAGTAGATTAAAGAACTTTAGCTGTTTTTCAGATTATCAACATTTTAAATTATTTCAACAACTGAGAAAACTGGCTGCTTATTCACAACTTTCGATTCATATAACCTAACCAAATATTTATTCATGTGAAACTCTTCATTCTTATCCCACGGTAACCGAGTTCCTTTATGTGCCTTTAGCAAGGGACCTCATCAAATGTGTCTGGCACTCAAGCAGACTGTAACAAACAGGTCAGCCTTGTTCCCATGCTCTCTGGCTCCCTCAGCAAAACACAAATGTATTTGTGAGGAATGCACTCCTTTTACGGCGTATCAACCCCCTGTATCAGCTAACTCTGTCGCTGCACTTTCTACCAGCTTCTCCAACTTGAGCTTCCAACTTTTTTGTAATCCTCTAAATCTGCCCTGGACGTGTTTTTAAAAACTGTCATCACATTTGCCAACTTTTATTTCTCGGCCACTGAAGCAGTTTGAAGCAAGATGTTACATGCTATGGTTAATGGCACATTTATTTCACTCTTGAATAACTTCCAGATTTTTTGAGCCACCCAATCTAGACAACTTCATTTTGTTGATTTGTTCTATAATTATTTTTTTTGTGCCAACACTTTGTTTTGAGAGAGATTCTCCATCATTGTAAAGGAAAATTCTAGCACAGACACCTCTTAGGCTTCTCCTTGTGAATGAAAATGTACACTAATGTATTTGACTTTTGTCCTTTATCTTCCCTGAATGCTTCTTCCATGTCTACATCATCTTCTGGCCCCACAGACTTTCTGGCAAGCTTTCCACTACTTTTGTACTTGGAAAAAAAAACTTTAAAAAATTAATTACTAGTTTTTATGGGTTTGGAAGTTGTTCTTCAGATTGTATTTTTTCCTGCTTTATTACATTTCTACATGTAACTTGAAAGAGTCATTTATTTTCTGTCTCCTTAGCTTGGCCATAACATCAGCCTTTTCACTTCCAATACACTTTCATCCTCTTTAGCTGGGTCATCTTTTTATTACTGTTGCTCTAACACTGGCTTTCGTTCTCTCTTTCACGGCTAACACACTGTCACAGGAAAAGCTGAACTTCTTGACTTTGCTACATTTTTCACCAAAATGAAAACCAGAATGAGAAAGAAGAAAATCAATCAGAGTATAAGATCTTTTCTTCTATGATCACCTCACCAAAACTATTAGAGTAATCATTTCCTTGGAATGTAATATCACTGTCTATTTTGAACTGAATCGCTCTAATTTTGGTTATGACCAACATCTGTTCCTGAATGGCTTTAATTTTTAAAGATGAAATACATTAAAACTTTTTGTTCCTTTAAATTCAGCAACTGAAAATCTTCAGTTCCATGTATTAGAGAAACTAGTGCTGAAGTCTTTGCTCATCTGAAAAAATGTCTTGGTCTTGTCCCGCAGCTTGTGAAATGTTTTCTATTTGACTGGAATAAACAAAGCTCATCAGGGAGGCACAGAAAAGCCTAAGGAGCTTGTGATTTAGCAGGAGTGACCATACTTATTACCACAGCTGGACAAGAAAATTACTTCTGATTTGAAGGACTGTTATTGAAAATTCAAAATTAAAAGCAATTATAAAATTAAAAGTGTTCCAGCTCTTTTTGAGGAATTATGCATTTGGGGAAAAAAACAGTGATTGAAATGTTTTGACCTGACAAAATCAAAACATTTTTATTCATGAAGTAATTTTTAGATAAAAATCAAAGAGAATGGGAAAAAGAAATTAGGAAAAAATCTCTAGCCACTTACTTTCAAATAACTTTCAAAACCTTAATTTAATGACATAAAATGTAAGTGAACTTGATAAGCCTTTCTGAAATACTTTTATAGCTGTTAATCTGTTTTTTTTCCTGAGAAAAGTTTCTGAAGGACACCATTACCCAACTCTTCTTCTGACCGAGACCGAAAACAATACAGCATGTGATACAGGCCATTAAGTAAATACCAGTGATGATATTATGCTTTCGTCACATCAAAATATATTAAATCTGCAGGAAAGACTTGATTCAAGTGCTTTAAGTGAGTCTGCGGGGAGTGCCTGAAGGGCAAAATACCGTGGGAGAATACGCCTCTGAGTGCAAAATCTGTTCTTTCCCTCGAACCTTTCAGTCCTCAAGACCCTGGGGAGAGAGCTACCAACATCAGTTCAGAGTGACCACTGAGATGGGACTGGCTGAGGGATGTCCTTCCTGCCCAGCAGCAACCTCAGTGGGCAACAACACATCAGGAGAAAGCAGCTCCTGCCTCTTCTTCAGTGCTGTTTCTCTGGTTCTCCCTTGCAGTAATATTAGGAGTCACATGCCCATAAAGACGGTGCCAAGTCTGGCTACACCTGCTCTGTGCCTTTTCCAAAACCTGGAGGAACTCCAACACAGGCAGTTACATTACAGTGCACAGGGCCATTCCTGCCCTTCTTACAGGTGTCTGCATTTTCCTTAAAATCAGCCAGCTCTTTGTTGCACTTGGGTATAAATCTCAAAAGCATTCAGCATTAGCTACCTTTAAAACAAAGCCACGAAAAGCAGAAGAAATCCTAACTCCCTTGATGTTGTGACACGCCCAGCAGTTCCCTGATTAACATGACAGAGTTCTTCAAAGCCCCCAGGCTTTAATGGAACTCTGCTTAGGAGCCTCCTTGCAAACAGACCTTTATGGCATCCTCCAGTGGTTGACATGTTCCTACAGGTTACTTGGATAGTTACTTTGCTTTTAATTATGTGTACTTGTGACAGAAAGAGGGATCCTAGAAGGCCTGGGAAAAGTTGAGCCCATCATTTGTAGTAATATGAGAAGAAAGACATTATTAAAATTATGTAAGATCTGAGCCATTTTAAAGTAATAGGCATGAAGCTAATACGTTTTTGTTGTTATATTATAAACACATTGAATTTACTATTCAGCTCTAAATTTCCTTTTCTGGAAATACCAGCTTCTGTTACAATTGGTTCCACCCCTCCCACCCAAACCACCAGCCAATTCACCAAAGAAGCTTCACTGGGTCAAAATTAATTTCTGACATAACTTCCACTAGAGCACAACTCAGACACAGAGTGAATTTATCCCGTGACCCTTTTACTCACAGATTTATTACCAGGCAAGCACTAAGCAGACAGCAATCAAGCAACCTCTACAACTAGCCTGACGGTTGCAGGGTTATGTCCATTCATACAAACAATTACTCTGATACAGTCAACATGTTGTAAGACTCGTTATTCTTTCTCTGGAAGGTTGCAATAGTGCAAGTACAAAAATGTCAGCCTGTCAGTGGTGGAATTGTCTTTACGTTGGTTATAGCTGATGTAAGTGTTCATAGCTGCGATGATAAAATTCCGTAACTTTTCACTGGTGAAGAGTTTTCTAATCAGCACAAGAACGTAGTTGCAAAAAGAAGGCTGTTCAGCACAAGAGCACTGTCTTTGTAGGGTGGTAGGGAAAATGCTATTACATCGCCTGTTCTTTTTCCTCTCTAGGGTTTCAAGATGTGCTGAGCCAAGGAAGAACACCTGTCACATCCTACAAGAAGTTACAAGGTTGGTCCAGTGATCAAAATAAATGGAATGAAGAGCTTTATCCTTTCTGGGAAGATGGAGATCCCAGATGGAAGGACTGCTGGAAAGGTAATTGCACATATGTAATTCAAAAACACTAAGAAGATTGGCCAGAAAATCCACATCATTGAGGAGTACAGGTGCTACAGTGCTTTTTCATGGGTGCAATATCCACCCCTGCTGCAAGGAATAGCAAATGAGGGACGATTGGCTTTGATACCTTTCCCAGTATGCTGTTTGAGGGAGCAGAACAGCACGTTTAAGCTACAGTACATGCTTTCCCATGACTCACAGTCTCAGCCATTAATACTCACCAAGTCTTGATGGCCAGGGCTCTAGGACAATCCATTGTTTGAAATGTGCTCTACAGGACTGGTAGCTTAAGCTGCTGTCTCAGTAAGGCATTGTGGGCTCCAGCTTGACAACTTCAGTGAAGACCCTGTTTATTATCACCTGGTCTGAGTTGGGGTCTAAAGGCTGTATCCCGGGGGAGAAACAGAAATATTCTCCTTCAGAATATATTGACCCTCATGAGCAAAAAATCATGTTCTCGGCTCTAAGAAGGAAACGAATGACAGGCCAGTAAGCAATGCGGGGGGATACGATGACTCCCTCTGGTTGTTCTAAGTTGGGGTTTTGATAAGAGTACAAGTGACTTAGTAGCAGAAAACCCCTTGGAAATAGAGGAATCCATAAAGCATTTCTAACGAAAAGAGTGCATAGCTGAAGGCAGCTGCTGCTCTGATGCATCCTTTACTGAAGACCAGTTTTCTTTTCTACAGGCGGAAGGGTGACAGCCAAACTGGACACTGATAGCCCAGCACTGGTAGGATCCAACATGACCTTTGTTGTGACTCTCCAGTTTCCCAAGTGCCAGAAAGAAGACGATGATGGCAACATAATATACAAGAGAAACTGTACCCAGGGTAGGTAACGGCAGTCTCCCTGCACTGTACACTCTATGACTATGGCGCTTTGTTAACTGCTGATACCCATTCCCTACTTAATATTTGTTGTGCTCTTTGGGAAAGGAAACTGTTGCTTTATTATTCAGAAAGGAATGGAATTTCACGTCTAAGTTATTTAAAGGTGCCATAGAAAACTGTTCTGACAAAACAAAGTAAGTCACTTCCTCACAGTGCCTCCATGGCTGCCATTTCTACCTGAAATTTTAGATTCTGCTTGCCAGATGTCCAGGCAGCCCTACTAACTCCGGTGCAACAGTAGCACCCTGTGTAGTCAACAGCAAGTTCTGGGCAAGCAATTTTAAATTGTGTCTGGCCAATGAGACACTAATTTGTTTGTTTGTTTCTAATCAAAACAATACCAAACCAGAACAATTTGGTGTTTATATTAAAACCAAACAAAGCATGATCTTAGAAAAAATGAGTATCAGCCAAAAAATACCACACTTAACCTGTTGTTTAAATGCAGCAACTGCTGTAATCCGGGGTGTCTGCCTCCTGTTTCCTGACTTTCTGCACATCTCTCTGTTGACTGGGAACATGTTTTATTTCTACACTTAGATTCTCCAGCGTCCCAGGATCAGCAAATCTATGTCTACAACTGGACTGAATGGATCGACAGCTGTGGCTGGGAAAACTGCACAAGCAACCACAGCCATAATGTGTTCCCAGACGGGAGACCTTTCCCTCATTATCCTGGCTGGAGGAGAAGGAACTTTGTCTATGTGTTTCACACATTTGGTTAGTACTGCCACACATCCCTTGGTTTGGCTGTCGCTGCAAAGCCTGTACCCACTCTGTACACTGACTCATTTGTCGAGTATGTTTTATTAAAAGCCCTTTAAGAAGGATTTCATGCTGTTGAGTGGAGATCCTGAATTCATTCCCTGGTTCCAGAAGGGCCATCAACTGCTTGGTCTGGAAATCATGGATTACCAGGAGATTCTCTTTAAATCTGCATTCACAGTAGTACCACTGAAGAAAATTAATTTCTTTTCAGTAGTACTCGAGATACTTTTCTAGGAAAACAGAGGATCCGAGCAGGTCAGTCAGATGATTTGCTGACTGCTCGCTGCCACTTCAGATTCTTAAATTTAAGAGAGACCTTAGCGCTGTATATCTTCAGATCCGTCTAATGGTGCGGCGTTTCTTGCCTCTGGGGAGAAAGTGAAAACTGCCACTGACTGTGTGGTACTGATTTGGTCACAGATGCTGATTTTCAGTGTTTACAGCTCCTGAGTATGTAACAATAGGACTATTCCTGACACTGGCTACATACTAATTCTTAGTATCCTGAGTTAGCTTGGCTAAATCAGTATTAGCATCAGCATGAGTAATAAAAATAATTACTATGTCTAAAATTTTACATAGAGGTGATACTATTTACCTACCTCAATCAACTGTTACAAAGACAAATAAGCAAATGTACACCAAGGGCTCTAGGCTACAAAGCAAGAGGTATTGTATCTTCTTGGTACACTGAAAGCGTACAAGCACAAGATAACTTAAAATGCCTAAGAAGTAACACCATCCACTGCATAATCCTAATAGCTTAATGTAATGTAGTTGCCTTGGCAAATGCCTTTTCTTAGATCAGTGAAATCTGGGACATCTTTCTGACACCTTTGAAAAAAACACAGGAATAGCGGGAGTAAACACGCTGTGAAAGTATTCAGTCCTGCAAAAACACCTGCCAGATAACTGAAAGACAACTCTAAACTATTCATTTTAATTTAGACAAGCCAAGAGTCACACAGATGTTGCTTCTCTTAAAACAGCTTGTACCTAGGCTGAAGGGGAAAACATGTTTTAAGTTCATGTTCTGTTTCAGGCCAGTACTACGAAACAATTGGACGATCTTCAGCAATGTTTTCAGTCAACACAGCAAATATCACTCTTGGCAAACACATGATGGTGGTATCCGTTTACAGGAGAGGGCACTCGGCATACGTTCCAGTTGCAAGAGTGAGGGCCATTTATATTGTAACAGGTGAGTGTGCTGGAATAAACTGTAACAAAAACTGGGGGGTATGTGTTGTTTAGGCGTTGAAAGAATTCAGCGCAAGCATCACCTGGCGCAAGAAGACATTGGCCCAAGGAAGGTTTTTAATATGAATGTGGAATCTCTGGTAAATTGCCCTGAGTAGTTTAATTTCCCTTTGTATCTACCTCAGTTGTGACACCTCTACTTTGTAATGACAAATGATTTATGAGAGGAAATGCAGGCTTCCACAGATGCCTGTGATTCCTCATTTGTTCCCTTACTTTCTGGGTAACTGTCTCCTACTGACATGCACTCCTCAAAGCAGTAAATCGAATTAGAGTAGAAACCCATGTTGAAGATACTAATGTCTCAGATTCTGACTGCTGCTGTTCAGGGACACTGGAACTGTTTGTTATTTGCAGCCAGGGATGTACGCTTTATTTATTTACTTCCTTTTTTTCCCCCTCCAGACAAAATTCCAGTATTTGTGAGTATGTTCCAAAAACATGACCGCAACATCTCCGACTCCATTTTTATCAAAGACTCACCCATCACATTTGATGTGAAGATCCACGACCCCAGCTACTATCTTAACAATTCTGCCATCTCCTACAAGTGGAATTTTGGAGATGGAAGCGGCTTGTTTGTAGCCAGCAGTTCCACTACATCTCACACCTATACTCTGCAAGGAAACTTCACTCTGAATTTAACTGTCCAAGCCATTATACCGGTACCTTGCAGGCCAGTAACACCCACTGCAGCACTGCCCACCTCGGCAGGTAAGCCTTTATTGAATAGCAGTGATATTAGGAGCTACGCTAAAACTTGAAATTCTGGTATTTTAATTTCATCACTTTAGAATTTTTACCGTCAGCAATGAAAGAGCTGCAAGGATCTGCAAACACTATAAATTGGTTTAGAGACAGAATCAATAAGGATAAACTCTTCTATGATTCTGTGGTAGGCATCACTTACACATTTAACACATTACACATGCAGTTCTACCAGCCCAGTGACAGCACACAGAGGTCTTCAGGTGGACATGCAGTACATACAAATTTGGTTTTATACCCTCCACCACACCAGGTCAAGTGGTAGCCTTGCCTACTCAGGGTCATCTTCTGAGGTAAGGTGTAAATTTTAATTGAGAAAGAGGTATTTCAGAACATACAGCCAGTTCCTTTCTGGTTTGCATTAATTTCCACCCAAAATTAAATTAGACTGAATTGAACCAGAAAAGAAAGAATTACCCATATTCCAAAATACGGCTTTTCCACTTTAAATTTATGCACTATCGTATTTCAGACAAGCTTTCATTATGTTCAGCATCGGTTTTTCATCTCAGAGGGTTTTAAGGTTTGCAAAAGGCCTTCAAGTTTCAGCCTGGGTAGTTATAATATTCCTACTATTAAATTGTAAATGTGACTGCATTTTTCAAATTTAAGAATTTTAATATGTGCTTTTACCAAAATGTTGAGTGAGAATGAAAAATTAAAGGAAAGGTATAATTTTCACCACTTCCCCTCTTAATTTTTCCACTAGCTGTAGTGTGGAGCAAAGGGAAAATACCTGCTTTTAAAGAAAGCATTTTAAACTTTTTATTGGCCTTTGGTTTTCTTCTATAATTGATTTGGGAATTTTAAAGAAGTGTTTAATTATATCAAAACTTTTGGTCTCGCTTTTATTTCAGAGAGATGGGTGACTAGCAAGTTGGCTTTTAGAGTGATGCTAGCCGGGCCACTGCAGGGATGTGTGTTTTCCTTAAAGCTTATTGCCATGATCCCATACAGATACGTACATGACGGCACAGCTGCAAACTGCTCACTACTGACCTATGCAATGAATGCAGCTGAGGCATATGGCTGTGTTCAGAATACCTCTAAGCAGAACTTGCTCTAAAGCTGCCTATCTGTTCCTCCTCCCTCAACAGTAACAACCAGAGCATCTTCTGATTCAGACTCCTCTACCACTGTCGAGTTAATGGAAGATAATCCTGATGAAGGCTGCCATATTTACAGAAATGGATACTATACAAATGGCATCTCTGTTGTAGGTAAGGATGTGGGTCAACACCTCAACAGAGGAACGGAGTTAATAATGTACAACAACATGTGGTGGAGATAATGTTTCTTTAGGCTCTCTTTTACCAAATATGTGAGACCCACAATAAGATCCTTCTCTTGGACCTAATTTTGAAAGATTAATGTACAGACAGCTAACTGGCTGACTTCGGTTTCCTTATACGCTCTGCCAGGACCTAGTGACGGAGGTTATAGCGCCCTGGTTTCAGTCACGTGAGGCTGGGCCTTGGTCTGGATGCCTGCTGATGGCATCCCATGCTATGTGTGGTGCTTCCAGGCACAGGGGCTGGAAAACGGCGAGTGGGGACATGCACCATGGCAATGCATTCTATATCATCAGCTTCTGAACCTGTCACACCTGAAGCACACTGGCTTGGGGGAGGCACATAATGTTGAATTGACCTTGGTATGCACAGAAGCCACGGGCAGTGGGACAGGAAAGTGATACAGTAAAATTAATAACTAAATAATAATAATGGAAAACTAAAGCAGAGCAGAAAGGAGCAGCCTCACAGGGAAAGCACTGGAAAATTTCTCAGCTTTCAAACCCTTCAAGAGGAGTGCTAAGGGAGGGAGGAGGTTATGGAAAACAAGACCTGAACTGAGCATCAGCCAAACACTTGAGGTTCTGTACACACAGACTTCAGAGCTTGTCCTGTGTCCTACCACTGACATCTGTTTCCTCTCCCAGAGGGAATCCTTGAGGTAAATATTATTCAGATGATGAGCATCCAGATGACAGCAAGTCAAGCTGAAAACTCACTGGTTGACTTTGTTGTTACCTGCCAAGGGAGGTAAGTGTGTGAATGAAACTGTCAATCTTCCCTCTTTAAAAACAATGAGGTGCTGGAACACTGTCTGCACTTAGATGCAGCTGCATGAACAGAAGTTGGGAACTGCAGTGTTTCTATTTCTTGACTGGAACTAAATATAATGCAAGTCTCATTTGTAAACCTCAGCAATAGAGGTTACTGCCAGGCTATTAGGATTCAGAACAATGTCAATCCTCAGTAAAAATAAGAGAACTAGATGGTGGGGAGAAACAATTCTATATTTTCCTGGCCAAGACAAGATTTCAGCACTTACTGTAAAAAGGGAAGCAGACTACTGAAATTGGATGGAAACCCTTTCTTTTTGGCCATGATTTTTTGACACTTACAGAGTGCGTCCAAGCAATTTCTTGGATAGGAAAACATTGCCCTAATACTCCTGGCTTCTAGAAGGGGATTAGAGTTCAGAGGACTGAGAAGTACAAGAATTGTCTTGGTAATGCAACTGGAAAACAATTAACCTCTCTTAAGTTAACATTTACTTTTTTGGCACATGATGCTACATATAAGAATTTGCATTCCTTTCTTAATGATCTGTATTAAAGGTAATGGACTTTATAAGATGTTTTGAGGCAGGTAATTCTGTGATCACCATAATGTTAGATAATATGTTAAACAAGCAGATAATTTTACAGATAGTATATATGCATTTTAATGAAACTCACATGTATGTATATATAAAATGTATAGGTTTGTATAAAATATATATAGTTTATTAACAAAACACTCTTAAATCACTACAGTGACACTGATGTCAGTAAACAGGCCCTAGCATAAAACTGGGATATCAGTGCAATGTGTCTATGAACTGGGCTAACAGGACATCACAGATGCAATGTGTTCCCTCTCCCCATCCCAGTCTCCCCACAGATGTCTGCACAGTAGTTTCTGACCCCACGTGCCAGGTGTCCAAGAGCGTGGTATGCGACCCCATCATCGTCACTGATGAGTGCTCACTCACCGTCAGGAGAGCTTTTGAGGAACCAGGAACATACTGTATAAACATCACCTTGGGGGACGACACAAGTCAAGCCCTTGCCAGCGCGCTGATTTCCATAAATGGAGGTGAGTCCACACAGAGCAGATGCGGGTCATCTGTGAGTCGCTTCTCCCCGTGGTCATTTCCCTGCAAGGGAGAAGAGCACAGGAATTTACATGGGGCTTTTATTATGCCTGGAGGCCTCAGCTGAGGCTGTGCCAGCTTGTGTGAGAGTCCATGCAAAGAGAGAGAGATGATCCTTTCCCAACAAGAATTTTAGATATTAGAACTTGGTTTGATTTATGTTTACAATCCAATGAGCACAGTAATTACACAAACCCCTCAGTAACAGAGAATATGAACAGTTCTTAAGCCATAATGTACTTTTTCCACAGAATATGCTGGGAAAAAAAGCCAGCCTACTCCACACATGGAGAAATAGAGAGGAATTCAGCTCACTTGAGACAGAATTAAAGTCTGCAGCTGAGCTGGCCACCCTGGGCCCTCTTTGTAGCCCATTGACCTTGACCAGGTTTCTATGTCTACATGAGGATAAGATAAGTCAGGTTCTGGAAAGATCTGTGTAACAGCCATTGATGAGAGTCTGCCCAGGGTGACTATCGCTGGCCAGGAGGTTTACCTTTGGTTGGATGGGTAGCACCGTGCCTTGCTCATGGTTCTCCAAGCAGTCTTTGACAGAACCAGGTATTAAACTCGGCCTCAGTCAGAATTCTAAATGACCATACTGTTTCTCTGCTCCCACTCCACTGCTCTCCTGACCTCTCACCACAATGTCCTAGTGACTCTTCTGAACTCTCTAATTACTATCAGCCAAACAACCAAGCCTCTGCGGTCATTTGCCACAGTATTTTTGGCTGATTTTATTTATTCTAGGAATAAATTTAGCTGTACCAAAAATCAGTTCGTGATGACTAAGGCACAATGCCTGACCTGTAAGGGCATTCCAGCTCCTAAAGATGAAAATAAGCATGCAGTAGAATTTTTCAAAGCTGTATTCACAGTTGTTAACTTTAGCCCAACAAGGCTGGTCTTCCTAGGCTTCCTCCAGAGGGCAATGCTAAGTTTTACTTTGGGGCTTCCACTATAAACTGTCGTGGTTTAACTCCGGC